GTGTGCGTTCACTGTTCACGGTGCTCACAACCTGCTCAGTGGCTATGGGAACTTGGGCACAAGAAGTGATGGGAGATCCGATGTGGGATGCCTGGGCGGTCATGCAAGCTCATCATCCACATGAAGAAACCTTCAAAGTGGACTGCTTGGAACTGTTCGCAGGGCATGCCAACATATCCTCCGCCTTTCCCCAAAAGCAGTGAGGCGTGCTGCAGCCCCGAGACATCCTCTTTGACCACGACCTACAGAAGACCGAGATCCAGGAGGAGGTCGTCGAGGAGACAACGTCCCAAGCTGGTGTGGTTGGCGCCCCCGTGCACGGTGTGGTGTCAGTTCTCACGGTTGAACTATTCCTCCCAGGAGTTGAGGAGAATCAGCAGCAAGGAGAAGAACCTGCTCAACTTCGTCCAGCGGGTGTTCGAGCTGCAGCAGACGCTGGGAGGCATCGTGGCGGTCGAGAACCCACGCACCAGCGACATTTGGAGGCAGCCTCAATTCGACAGCATTGTAAAGGAGGAGAACGTCTGTTTTGCCGACCTGGACCTTTGTCAGTACGGGTTGGTGAGTGTGGCCGACGGCAAACCTCTGAAGAAAGGAGTGTCCATCTTGACCAACAACCAGGTGTTCGCTAAGGAGCTTGCCTTGCGATGTCCAGGACAGCATGAACATCGTCCCATACAAGGAAAAGACACGAGGGCATCGGCCACCTATCCACCGGACTTTGCCAAGGCAGTGGTGAAGGCCCTCGACGGAGCATGCAGGGCTGAAGCCCGGACATCGACTCACTTTCCTACGAGCACTGAACCGGGAACCGGAGAGGTAGAACCAACTCGGGGGGCTGAGGCTATCTACTTCAAGGGCAAGGTCAAGCCGATGGTCGCCTCAACGCTGAAAAGAATACACCAAAATTTGGGACACCCACCAACTCGTGAGCTGATCCGACATTTGAAACTGGGTGGAGCATCGGAAAGTGTCATCAGGGCGGCCGAACAGATGGTGTGCAGGACATGCAACAAGAGCACCAAAGCCAAGTCCTCGAGGCCGGCGAGTCCCGCAGTGGTGCTGGATTTCAATGAGGTTGTGGCCGCTGACATCATATGGTTGGACACGATGGACAGCACCAGGAACCCTGCTTTGAACATTGTGGACGTGGCATCCACCTATCAGGTAGTGCTACCTCTCAGCAACACCACATCCGAGGAGGTGGGCAGAGCGATGGTGGAAGGGTGGATGAGTTGGGCAGGGGCCCGAAAACATCTCATCGTGGACCTGGACTCAGCCTTCAAGGACAGCTTTCTACAGGTGATGAATGAGAGGGCCGTAATCCTGCAATGGAGGAGCATGGAAAGAAATCTGGAACAAGTTAGTTGAAGATCACACGATCCTCTCCTCCGAGATGCCTGAGGCCATGGCAGCCACTTCAGATGCTAAGAATCAGCTGCGCAATCGGAGCGGGTTTTCTCCGAGACAATGGGTGTTCGGGTGCAATGCCCGAATGCCCGGAGACCTATTTGATGGAAATGAAGAACTGGCAAGCCTTGACAGCGTCACAGTGGATGAGAAGATGGGGAGACGGAACCAGATCCGAATGGCAGCCAAGGCGGCCTTCTTCCAATGTCAGACCAAGAGCGCCCTGGAGAGAGCCATGCACCACAAAACCCGGGTTGAGGAGAAGCCGTACGATCCGGGCGAACTGGTCTAGGCCTACCGGGAGTTCAAAGGAAAGCAGTGGTGGCTTGGGCCTTGCTCTGTGATCGGCAGGGAGGGTCAAAACTGCTGGCTCGCCAGAGGTGGTCGACGCCTTCTATGCGCTCCCGAACATCTGCGACCCGCGCATCATGAAGAAGTAAGTGAAGGCCTTCGATTGAAACTGGCGATGAGGGAGCTCAAAGAACTCATGGAAAAGGAAGACGAGTCTGACTATGAGGAGTTGGAATGGCATGCAGTTGACGATGGGGGTTCCGGCGGGCAACACGTCGAGATGGAAGTTGAGGACGCCATCAACCCGGTGGAAGAGAGAGCAAAAGCTATCCAGGCTGCCGCCAGAAAAGCCCACGTGCTGGATGACGTCCCAGTGTCCATCAAGAGAAGTCGTGTCCATCAACCTTTCATGGCACGGAAGGCCATCTCCGTGAGAGGGCAAGAGAAGCAGCTGGAGAAAGAGTTGCCATGGAATGCCATCCCCTTTGAAGAACGTGAACTATACATTGCCGCCGAGGAGAAGCAATGGAAGGAACATGTGCAGTTCGAAGTGGTGCGAGCCCTATCGCTGGAGGAAAGCCAGAAAGTCATTGAGACGGTGGACCCCAAGAGAATACTGAACTCCCGCTTCCTCTACAAGGACAAGAACCATGCCAAGAGAAAGCTTGACAAGCAGGTACCTCCGAAGCCAAAGGCACGGCTCTGCGTAGCGGGACAATGGGACCCGGACTTGGGACACGTAGAGATGTCAACTGATGCGCAAACTGTCCCCAGACATGCCATCATCCTGGCCTTGCAAAAAGGCTCTAGCACGAGATTGGCAAGTCAGCGTCGGGGACATCAGAGCCGCCTTCTTGAATGGGCTTCCTGCTCCAAGGAATTTGTACTTCAGGCAGCCTCGTCGTGGAATACCTTCCTTGCAGCCTGGGCAAATCATCGAGGTACTGAAGGGGGTCTTCGGCTTGTCTACGAGCCCAAAGCTTTGGTGGATGAAGTTGTCTCACGATCTGTTGGAACTTGAGGTACATCACCAAGATCAAAAACTGCGCTTCACTCAAAATGAGATCGACCCGTGCATCTTTGCCATCATCAAGGACGACAAGACGCTAGCGCTGCTCCTGACCCATGTCGACGACATCATGCTGATGTCCGACCAGTACCTCCTGCCAAAGCTCTAAGAAGCGATAAAGAACCACTTCCCCATTGATGAATGGGAGAACCAAAACTTCGAGTATGTGGGCTGTGAGTACCAGTGCGCTGACGAGGAGATTCACATCCGACAAAAGAATTACGCCGCCAGCCGTGTGGAGAAGGTGACGATCTTAGAAGACCAGAAGGAAGATGACCTGGCCTCCCCTGAACAGAAGGAAGAAAACAGGACGGCCATCGGTTGTGTGTCATGGCTGGCAAAACAGACGCGGCCGGATTTGCAGTTCTCAGTATGCCAATGCCAGCGACGTCAGCAAAACCCCACAGTGGCCGACCTGAAGAACACCAACAAAGTGATCAACATGTGCAGCAAGCATCAGGGGCAAGGCATCACGCTGCGAAAGATAGCTGAAGATGACCTATGCATCTTGGCGTACCACGACGCCGCATGGGGAAATGTGCTCCCAGACGAACAAGAAGAACAAGATGCCTCTTGGATTGGTGAGCACACCACCGCCTTGCAGCTGGCACACCTCATTTTGTTTGCCAGCAAGTCGTGCCTGACCAACACAGGTGGGAAGTTCAGCGTCGTTGACTGGCGGAGCAAAGCATCTCACCGAGTCTGCCGCTCTACGTTTGCTGGAGAAACCATGGCAGGGTGCGAGGGATTTGAGAGCGCTGTCTATCTCCGCAGCCTGTTTTTGTCGATGGCCACTGGCATGCGCGTCAGTGAAAGATCGGCAGGAGAGAAGCTGGATTTGCACCTCCTGACTGATTGCCGGAGCCTCTACGACCACATTCACCGAGAAGGCGTTCCCAGAGCGCCAAGTGAGAAGAGGCTAGCGATTGATTTGGCAGGTTTGAGGCAGGGATTGCTCATTGAAGCCAAGCATCAGTGGAAGCAGAGGTTCCCTGGCGAAAGTCGCCCCACGCCTCAAAAACCCTTGAAGCCCCCAATCCACTGGCTGCCAACTGGCGAGCAACTCGCCGACATTTTAACGAAGGTGTTGAAGGCGGACGAGTGGTGGAACAAAATTTCCAATGGGAGGCTAGCTTTACCTTTCAAAGAAAGCCAAACGTGCTAAAGAGGGCAGAGAGTTTTTGAGGAGTGTGAATGAACCCCATTCCTCGCTTGTTGACGCCCCTTGCACGTGGTTGTGCGATTGACCGGACGCCACTCAGGCACAAGGGTTTGAAAGCAGTTTAGAAAAGTGTGCGGTGCACCTGCCATGTAGGGATTGACCAACCAGTACTTTTGCAATAGTATTCATACTGAACGTGTGTGTGCAAAGAGCCGTATTCTGGTGGTTGCTCATAGTTTGTCCCTTCATGCTGGGCAGTTGCAATTTGGTGTTCCTCCGTCACATTCTTGGCTTCGTTGGTGGGCCTCTTCCTGGGCGACAACAACGGCGCACTTCAAGGTCTGAAAGGTGCAGCGCAATTCCCGACACCGCACGATCCCGTAGCCGTGGTCTTTACGTTGCGTACTTGTTTGCTTTCTTGGTGCCTTCACGCTTCACCCCTTTCACGGACATGCATCATATAACCGCGGCGCAGGTGTCACGGTTGCCAAGCCTCTGGCCACAGGTGCCTTGAGCCCGTAGGCGTGGCAGTGTAGCAAAACCTACAGTGCCCTATAATTCATTGGCGAGCACCAGTTTTGCTGCGGTATGTATGTCTTTAGCAACGATTAGATTAGACATACATTAGGGCTATTAGGGTCTGCCACTGCCAGCTGACAGGCCTGAGAACATACCTTTGTTTCAAGTTGGAAAGGGCACTGGAAAGGCAATACTACAAGTAACAAGGGCATTGCTGCTAGTACATAATTGGAAGACCATACTACAAATAGCTTCTAGCTACTAGTGTCTGAGTCTTTGTTGCTGGCGCCCAATTAATGCAAGTCCCCCAACCCTGGCACCATAAGGAGTGTCTGGGCTTTGAAGAAGTTGGCCTCGACAAAAACATCGAAGGTGAAACCTTTGGTCTCATATGGATGCTGAAGGCCTGTTCTTTGTTCAATCGGATGGACAACGATACTCAATCTTCACAGCATTTGATTCTTGACATCATTTAGCGCGTGCAGTGCCGCCGCTGTAACAGCTGGCTTTCCTGGTGCTTGATTTGCGCGTGGTTCGTTGTGGTGATACCACCGATGCGACGCTACCGTAAATGGAGCATTTCCAATTTAATGTCAATCATATCATGTCCCCTGCAAACTTGAGAATGGGTGGGTGGCTTTCCACATCGGCACGGCCATTGCCCTGGGTTTCTTTTCGCAGCAACCTGCTATTATGGTTGCCTTCGAGAAATGTATGGAACTCAGATGTTGGTGTCCCAAAAAATCTCAGAACCAAATCATTAGTGCGAGCGCTTCTTCAAGGAAGCTCCCCCCAGCCCTGACGCGGCGGGAGCTTCCTTGAAGAAGCGTGAGCTACTAGCTCCTCGCTTAATTGACTAGGGAGGGGAGGGGAGAGCGAGCGGGTCCCTTACGTCTTGGACTCGGTCCCTCGGTCCCTCTCGGTCACTATTTACTCCTTCCACGCTGCTTGTGCTACGGCGGCGGCGGCTTCTCCTGCTCTGATTGCCTGCGACTGCTATTGCTGCCACTATTTCCTGTGCAATGGCCTGTATTGCTGCCGCTAGAGCACCTTTTTATGGATGAGTAGTCCCAGAATAGAGTGATGCTGCTCAGGTGTTTGCTTTTGATGTTTTGCAATTTGAGCATTCTAGGTCTGGCTTGGGTGCCGCGGTTGAGGACGGACATTTTGCGATTCTTGCATTTTGCATGTGCTACGGAATAGGAAGCCGGTTCACACCGCAGTTCCTTATTGGATGCGCAAGGTGGCCAGGGCCAAGCAACATAGAGTCTGTATCCTTGCTGCTCGGCTTAGAGAGGTGGTCAGAAGAGGAAGTCAGACAGAATCGCAAGACGAGAGCAAAAAAACTATCATTTGCTCTATGCTTCTCGACGAATGCACACACAGGTACATGTTTAGAAACATTCGTGCGCGCGCCCACGAAGGATTAAGTGATGGGCATGTATATAATTATACATATGCGCATGCGTGTGTGCGTGTGTGTGTGTGTGTCTGTCTGTGTCTGTGTCTGTGTGTGTCTCTGTCTCTGTCTCTGTCCGTGTCTGTGTCTGTCTGTGTCTGTGTCTGTGTGTCTCTGTGTCTCTGTGTCTCTCTCTCTCTCTCTCTCCCTGAGTGAGTGAGCGAGCGAGTGAGTGAGTGAGTGAGTGAGTGGAGTGAGTGAGTGGAGTGAGTGAGTGGAGTGAGTGAGTGTCTGTCTGCCTGGCTGGGTGTCTGTCTGTCTGTCTGTCTGTCTGTCTGTCTGTGCGCTGTATACAACCACCTCCATGAACCAGGCTTTGTTTGGTGGCATTTCATTGGGTAGACTCTTTCTGATTTCTACCGTAGGGCCTCTCTCTCTCTCTCATTCACTGTAGCTAATCCTTGGGTGTATGATCTTTGCAGCCTGGCAAGTTTTCCGTCCCTTCCATGCATCTCTGTCATTTGACTTCTTTTCAGCACTTGTGATTCCCGACTGACCTCACCTGGTTGTATCACACCATAGATGATTGAGAGATAGATAGATAGATAGATAGATAGTTTTCAGTTTTTTTTTTTCAGTTTGTACGCGCGCTTCAGACTTCTTTTTTTGGTGATCCCGCGGGATCCTACAAGCCCTCCGCCCAGAAGTTCAGGGTGATTCTGGTGGTACATCAATTTTTGATTTCCCCTTTCAGGATAGTGCTGGGCCACTATCCAACCTTTCCCTTTTCCGCTCCAACAAAGTGTTTTGAACTTGCCAAGGTGCACAGGAACGGACCCGGAATTAGGACCGGGCAGCAGCGAACGGCCAGCAACGTAGGGCAGCCACCAGTCCAAAGGTCCAGCAAGGAACCAAACCAGAAGGAGGAGCGGAGCCCGGACCCCAAGGATGTGCAACCGGGTCATGGCCGCAGCCGGGGAGCGTGGCCGGGCATGGCCATTCGATGCTGAAAGGCTGATAGATAGATAGGTAGGTAGATAGATAGATAGATATTATAGATATTAAAGGTATTATAGATATTATAGATATTATAGATAGATAGATAGATAGATAGATAGATATATATATTATATGCTTGATTTCTGATTTCTTGTGGCAGTATTTGGTCGTCGCCTCGTCCCGACACATTTCCTGTCATTTTCTTTGCTTTGCCCCGACTCAACCTTGAGAGTTTCTTAAAGTCTCACTACTCACGAAAGGTGTGCAAAACCTAGCAATTGGCAGATTCTTTGCTACATTTCACTTGCCTCAGCCATGTGCCCAACTGCTACAGGTTCGGCTGCAAGGTGGTGACGAGGAGAAAAGGCGCGGTGAGGAGAGAGAGGGCTTTCGGCCAGTGCATTTGCAGCCATCGATTCAATGTAAAGTTAAAAAGGCCATTTGGACGCGAAATGCGTTGTTCCAAATGTTTGAATATGTTGGGCTGAGTCTTGAGTCTTGCATTTGAAGTCTTGGGTTTTGAACTCCCAGAGCCTTGAGGGCCTTGTCGACTCGAGTTGCTCGCCTATGCAGTGCGAAGAGTGTCCTTCTTTGTAGTCGTCAGCTTAGCTTCGCAAGATTGAAGTCGCACACCCCAAAGAAAACAACAGTGAATAGAAAGACTGGGGCCATTTGGTTGTTTGCGCGATTCTGGTGAACATCCATGACAGTCATAATCTTCTGTAACCTTTTTGAGGTCGGCAGGCGTTTGCTGGTGCCTTTCTTACCTGGGAGTGGGTGAATCCTGACCAACAACACAAAGCATCCCGCAAAATAACAGGCTCCATAAATTCTTTTGCCTTGATTGGATGGCCTTTGGCACACTCTGTGATTGAACCTGAGATGAGCAAAGCTTTAATCCCCAAATTGGATCCTTCTGGCCATGTTCTCCATGCCAGGCCGATCTCCCAGCCTAGCAATGGTTTCTCCCGACTGCTGTGTCATGGTCGCCAGAAGCTGGCCATTGCTTCCATGATATCTCCCAAGTCTCCCGCTGGCCGCGCAGTAGAGGTAGACTAGGACACTTGTCATGATTTTCTTTGGCGCCTGTGGATAAAGATCAAGAATGCACTCTTTGCTTTCCTTGATTCTCACTAGTGTGGGATGATATTGGACACCGTTGGCCCTGCCAAGATCAGAGCTGAAAGGTGACTATGAGTTTGAGGCGACGAGCTGGGCCTTTGGACAGGCGCATGCGCACTTCAAGCTGGCTGTAGTTGGCTGATTTGTGGAAAATCATCCAGGGTCATCCTCATGTTCACTCTCATAATTCCGGCTATCACAAGGTCTGTTGTCTTGTTGTTTTTGGTCTAGCCTAGCCCTTTGCAAGGTCCGGAAGGTTGCGTGTTTGGGCTCCACTTTTGATGCAGCTGTGATTTTCGACCCGGAGGAGATTCTTGGATGGGAGTGAAAGTTGCTGAGAGCTATGACGCCGACAAGCTTCTATTCGCCTGCAGGAGATAATGCCAGAGACTCTGTGGGCTGCCGCCGAGACTGTGCCCACGGCCTAGCTGAAAACAGTCTCACACGGTGACATGATGTGGCAAGTGCACTTTCCGCGCAGCAGGGTTTGAAGCAAGGCGGGGTGGCGGCATTGTTTGCATTGTGCCATCCTGAGTTAGTGCATGGTGTTCGAAGGGCAGAGCCTTCGATAGTTGCGTAAGGGTAGGGGGTGTGCCTATGCATTTTTGAGCAGGTGCCTCAGCTAGCCACCGGCCACACACCTGAGTATGCTGGCTGAATGATTTTCTCATTTGTGTTCTTATTTTGTTGTCAATGTGCTTACCGTACATTGACACTGCCCCTCACACAGCCTATTTCTTTGCACTGGATGCCAGGGTGACAAGACGTGGATTCTTCGATCGTCTCATGACGGCCTTGCAGAAGGTGTTGGCGTCGGTTTAGGCTTGCAGGTCGTCACCAGGGTTTAGCAGCATGAGCTTCAGAAGCTTTCACATGACGACACAAACTCGAACACTTTTCATAACTCTGACGCAGCTGGGTTGATTCTTTCAAATTGTTTCGCTCGTTTCGCTGAGTTTAGCTTGAATGTAGCATGTCGAAAGTTTAGGCAGTCAGGTCAAGACTATGATTTTGTTGCCGTTGGCTCGTTTGTGGCAGGCCCCAGTGTGTATTGAGGTAGATGAGGCCTTGGAGCCACTGAAACCGGTGCTGGGCGCCCAGCAGGTGGGTGCAAGAATGCATATATGTGTTGGTGTCACAAGAAGCAGGCGATCAAGGATGCTTTCACTGGAATCTCGATCAAAACGACTATATATATATACTGTATACTGTATATATATAGCATTCCTTTCACAGAGCGCATTCTGTGAATTAGTCACTAGTCCACGTACCCTCAAACCAGAAATGGCTTGGCCTTCTATTTTTGTATCCTGTTTTTGGACACAGTTTTTGGGATCCAGAAGCATTCCTCCCGGCAAAATACAAAGAACTTTATGAGCAAGGCGCTTGCTTTCAACGCGACTTCGGGTTTTACCAGCTTTCGATTGAGAGGCAAGTCGGTTGATTGAAGGTGATCTTGCTTGTCAGAGTGTTCTATTTTCAGCGGGAGGTCCTCACCTGGGTCAGTTGATGCATTAAGCAACTTATTTGGCAAACCAAGACTGTCACCTGAAGCTGTTGGGATGAAGCCTTAGTGCTTAGAAGTGGCTAAACTATTTTCCCTGCCCCTCCATCCTCATCCCCAATCCTTCATTCACAGCCAACCCTCGGCCAAACTGTACCAATCCCACGTGCATTTAAGCAGAAGCAGTTTCGTTGACTGCAGACTGCAAGGTTGTTTTCCAATCATGATCATGCAGCGTGCCCCGAATTTGCAGAGGCAAAGCCGGGACCGGGTCCTTTTTTTCCGTGTGTGCGTGCTTGTTTTGGGCACCTATGAGACTCATGAGAGGAAGGCATTTGCAAACGGCAACTGTTCTATATGGCATAGATTTCCGCCAATGTTGCTGGCACTGGTGGAAGGTGAAGGCGCCTAGCGCAGCAGGCAGGGTAATAAATGGGAGAATTCCTTCAATGTTCCTCGTTATGCCAAATTGCTTACATAATCGCATCCCATTCCTGAGGTGAGCTGACCGCAGCGCACTAAGGTCAGAACACCTCTTGGCACGCGGGGAAGGAGTAGCAATCACAATCTCGTGTTTGTGCTGTTATTTTCCGATGTTCGGCTGAACTTCAGTTGAGCCCAGAACCAGAGATCATAAACTCATATATAAACACAACCATGTAATCTTCAGACCTGCTTCACCCATCGAATTACGATGAGGCAGAGACACAAGTCGTGCCTAGATGTACATGTATTACATCCCGGGTGGAGCAATCTAACACAGTTGGACAGATGAGCAACTGTTTTTATGCACTTGCGCTGAAGTGAATCTGGTGGATCTTTCCAAACACTTTTCAGGCCATACTTGCCTTGAGCTGCAACCGCAATCAGCGTGAGGTGCTCTTGGCGGCTTTTCAGGCAAGTAGGGTGGACTTGAGCACTGCTCTCCCCCAATGTGCTGTGTATGTCTACCATGGTATGGTCTCAACATGCAGATCACATGTCTGGGGCCCTGAACGATTCAGAGACATTGGAACGCTGACAGGTCTTGGGCGGCAAAGACGAAGCGAGGCACCAGGTTGCCGGAGACCAATACATTGTGAATGACGTGTAGAATTGTCTAGAGGTGAGGTCAGCAGTGGGCGCAGTAGGCACATGCTGAATGTAAGGTGATCAGCGGGCGCCGTGGCCGGGGGAAGCCTAGACCTCAGAGTGTTTGCAGGTTCTGACCAAAAACTCAAACAAGCCAGAATGGTTCTGTCCTTTCGGTCCATTCTGCCCGAAGCAGCGTGGGGCTCTGGACACCAGTCCTCCTGGGCACGCTCATGGCAGCTGACACTGGAAGTGCCAGTGAAGCTGGAACCATAGTGGATTCAGAGGAGGGAAAGGCAGGCAGCACAGCGTGGACAACTCTAGAGGCGAAGCTTCCCCAAGGTGACGCCGTGAGGGTAGAGTCCCAGAACGAACATGCAGACAAGAGCATTGAAGCAGAGGAGTTGGTGTCTGCAATCCGTGAAGTCCTCGAAGGCGACATTGTTTTCATCACTGGTATTGCCTTGCATTGCTAACTCACATGCGGTCACGTTAGCTGTTGGGTTTTAGCATTCCATGCTTATGTAAGGCATTGTAGCCTAGTTGTATGATTCACCCCCTGAGGGAAAGATTTGGAGAGCTTCTCCTTGAAGGATCTGCGCTTTGCTCCTTGGCTTGTTTCTCCTTCAGTAGTAGGCTTAGAGATAGACCAGGACTGATTCTGGTCTTTTGTTGATGTAATGTAGGGCATGCTCGTCAAAGCGCAGACAACTGCTGTAAGTAGATGCATAGATAGAGAGATGGGCATAGGCCTGGCAGGTAGATAGAGAGTGAGAGAGAGAGATAGATAGATAGATAGATAGATAGACAGATAGAGAGGGACAGAGAGAGAGAGAGAGAGAGACAAAGAGAGGGGGGGAGAGAGAGAAAGAGAGAGAAAGAGAGAGAGAGAGGCAGAGGCAGAGGCAGATAGAGGCAGATAGAGGCGGATAGAGGCAGAGAGACAGACAGGCTAAGAGGCTGGGGTAGGCCTACAGGGGCAAGTGCCAGATCCGATTCTACTTCGCCGGATCAGCGTCAAGTGGAGTCATAGTAGTAAGGCCAGGAGCCCCTAGTAGCTTCTTGTTACTAGTAGCGATGCCCTTTGCTCCTAGTAGCGTCCATGCTCCTAGTAGCGATGCCAGGAGCCCCTACTAGCCAAAGGGCACCTCTTTGGTCACAGACATGGAGGGCACCTAGGTGGGATCCGATGGTGCAAGTTGTTCTTGAACTTGACGGTGTCACACCTAAAGCTCCGCTTTTTTGGAGACCAGGTAGGCCCTGAGCACATTGGGGGTTGTTGAAACTTACAAGGATGCCTGCTCTTTGCTGTTTGGACCCCACACTGTTTTTGATATATCGGACTACCAACTTCCTTGTAACACCAAAAGGGCCGCCGTAAATGGAACTGGTCCTTTTGCCACTCGCTTATCATGCGTGGGACTGTGCCAAGTCCCAAGAGCTTTCGAGCCTCTTGTGGTATTGCTTTTGGTACTCTCGATTGATGTGCTGTTTGATGCGTAGTGTATTTGCACGTTCGGCTGGTTTCTATTTGTTTGTATATATTTTGGTGGAGTTTTTTTTAACACATATTTTTCACAGCTTTGCAAGCTTAGTAATTCTCCGTCTCTATTTGTCTATCCTTCTTCCGCATTCTTTTCGTGGCTGTTGGGAGCCCATTTGTGCTCGCGGGAAACTATGCTGGGCACTTTTCCTGTTTGATTAGGCCCCCTTTGCGAAAGAAACAAGTTTGTCCACTAAATCAATCCGTGAAATGTATTCCACAAAGAGCAGAAGGAATTTAGGTGATGCAACTTATGCTGGGTGGCTTCCCTGTTGATTTGGGTCCCTCGCGAGGGACCCAGCAAATCTTTTAAACAGATCTGCCAACAATCAGGAACAAACAAGTATGAAACTGGACATGAAACAACAAACTGCAACAAACAAGCATGAGGTAAACCAGCGATGAACACCCAAATAAAAACAAACGAGGACCTTTGCATTCCGCAGAAAGGGCTGGTTCGGCGTGGGCTGAGAGAACGCATCACAACACATCCACCCCTTCAACTCGAAGAAGGAGCGCCTCAAGCACTTGCTGCGCAGCAGGGTGGGTGGATGGGAGTGAGTGAGCGAGGGAGTGAGTGAGTGAGGGAGGGAGGGAGGGAGGGAGTGAGGCAGGCAGCGAGATGCGGCCACGTTCGTTCAGCTTGACCTTTCTCATTGTTTTCATATCATCAGCGGTAGGGATATGATTTCGTTGTGTGTGTGTGTGAGTTCTCTCATGGAAACAGCCACAGTGCCACCTGGCATGCAGGTTATCAATTAGCAGCCAGTAAGCAATGGCATCGAAAGGGTGCCTGGTCGAGTCCCACCTCAAGATACACCAAACTCGGTGAAGATCGCGAGAAGTCTAGTAGCGTCCTTGCTCCTAGTAGCGATGCCAGGAGCCTAGTAGCTTTTTGCCCCTACGTAGTATATAGTAAGGCCAGGAGCCCCTAGTAGCGTCCTTGCTCCTAGTCTAGATGTGTGTGTCATCTTTTGTCCATAATGAAGCTACTAGGGGCTCCTGGCCTTACTACTACGAGCAAGGACGCTACTAGGGGCTCCTGGCATCGCTACTAGGAGCATTCTTGCTTCTAGTAACAATTTGGATGTGAATTTTTCTTTGAAACAGAAGTAGCCAGCAGCTCTGACCAGAATCTCATCACGGCGACCTTGCAGAGAAAAGAGAAACGAGCAATGGCAAAAAAGTATTTTCTCCCGATCCAGGTGGCCCAGGGTGTGAACAGCATCAGGGTTTGGAGGATCTGGATAGAACCGGAGGGGTTCTTTTCTTTACAAGTTGGATGGCTTTTTTTGTCAGTCTTTCTCCTGACTTGGTGCCTGTCGGGATGGTTGGGATCGAGGTGGGATGTTTGATGTTTATTCTTCATTGTGTTTATTCGCACTTTGCATTTAAACTGCATACTAGTACAGTACAGAGTTGTTCACATCCACACCGTCCATACACTTGAACTGGAAAGGCGGTGTCGCTCAATCTTTTTAAGCTGCTGCCCCTGCCGTACAGGAACAGTAACACTAGAAGTCGGTGCTTTTAGCATTCTGCTTGTGCTTTAGTGTTTGACGCTTTGCAAGTTTATACAATCGGGCCGTCCCTTATTGATATTTAAGGAAACCTGCGGTCAGAGCACATCACTAAGCAAGGAAACTGTAGGTGTGAATCTCGCAGGCAGGGGTAAGGAATAGCTAGATGTATAGAAGATGAGATAGAGCCGAGCTCAGGGTTACAAGGGTGGTCGAGGTCAAATTTGATGCGTGGGGAGCCGGAATGGTTGGGATCGGTAGTTGAGGTGGGGTTCGGCTGGCCAGGATGGTTGGGGTGATCGGGATCGAAATGCGTGAGGATCGGAGGGCCGGGATGGTCGGGATGGTTGGGATCAATCAGTTGCGTCTGACCAAGTGGACTCCGATGCAGGATTCCCATCCAGCCAAATGGATTCCGACCCCACGATTCCGATCGAATCAACACCCAGACATACAGACAGGGAGAGAGGCAGGAGACAGACGGATAGTCGGATAGACTATATAATTTGTGTCATGCATAAACGAAGAAACATGTTTGTACATGGACCTGCCACCTCTTTTGTAGAACCCTGGGCTAGACTCGGCCAGACATGAAACATGTCGGGGTGGTCATTTTTCCCATTATGTAAAAGACCTTGAAGTACTAGTCAGCAGTGGGATGCAGTGGGTGACAATTGACCCTGCCGCACATGCCACACGAAGTGACCCTAGAAATTTGACCTGACTCTCACCGGAGCCTTTGCGTGAAGAGCCCAAGAAGAATTAGTCATTTTTTCGTTGGTTGTATTTATGCTGATTTGCAGCAGTCAGTGCCTGAAAAGCTTTCAAGACACGACTGTTGTTGATACCTTTGTTCCATGTCTTGAGGCTATGGAGCAGAACCTTGACCTGGAAGCAGGTGCCTTGGAGTCTCGCAAGGCGGAGATCAGTGAGCTCGCCCAGGCAGAGTTGAACAGGGAGACGAGGAGGACCAGCTGTGAGGGCTCCATATTGGGTGGAGAAACGCGAGAACTCGAACAGGTTCTGAGATGGTTTTGTTTTATTGGTTGGTGGTCCGAGAAGTTGCCATGACAAAAGCACACAATTGTGGTGTGGCCCTCATGTTGCAGGCATTCTCTTAGATTCTAGCAATTTAGTTTTGTTTCCAAGTCATCAGGGTTTTGGCATTCTGGTGGAGGACAAGGCGCCGCAAACGCAAGGCAGTTGGAGTGGATTGGCAGCGTGCCGTGCGACGGGTTGAGGTGGAGTCAGCTGGGACGGCCAAAGGCCCACAGGAACCTGCAGAGGACAGACAGATCCGGCTTGGGTTAAAAGGATTTCCTGAACGAGTTGAAGAAGAAAGGTGAGCATGGTTTGTGTTTGAGCGGCATACGAAAACGCGACAAACAAAACAATTCACGGCAAAACAGCAACAAAAACAACACATATGCTTAAAAACAAATCTACATGAAATTGTTTGTTTCAGGAGGCCGGTGCTCTTGTGGACATGCCGCCAATTTCAGCGCAAATTGAGGGACACAGCCTCCAGCTCACTGGAAAGGTCTTCAGCAGTGGAACATTTGGCTATCACGGGTGTGCGAGACTTGCTGTTGAGATTGGTGGTGAGACGAGGAGCTTGATGTGCCAAGTGAGCTGTGCTGTGCTCAAAGAAGGCTGACAGCCAAGACATGAGCAAGCTGTGTGAGAAGCCACCCAACAGGGGTCACAAGGGTCACAAGCTGAGGCACATGGACTTCAGCGCGTGATTGTTCTGCGGGGGATGTGCAGAAAAGTCAGACCTGTGAGCGCCTAGAGCCTTGAGATGCTTTCTTGTTTTGGTGTTTTGGGCAAACTTGTAAGTGCAGATTTTGGACAAGGAGACGTCCTGTTCTGAATTCTTGCGAAGGTAGAGGTTGAAACCCTGCAAATTGTACAGGTCCACGACAGTGGGACTTCTGATTGCTGCCCTGGCCGGGCTAGCCAGGTTCCGGCTTAGGAGTCAAAACCAAGTCAGAATCTGAATGTTGGGCACCAGCCCGTGAGAGACTCCTTTCCACACGCCACTTTATTAATGTGGAGCTTCTTCATTCAAAAGAGAGGACTTCCGGCCTGTCGCTGAGTCGACCTGTTGCTGGGCAGGCATGTTTCAACTATTGTGGTCACTGCGCCAACAGCTGATAACGTGTGGCCACCTGGGACAGGACAGCACACCATCTTAAGCAATGACCTTTCAAAAGATCGTAGGGCCTCGACACTGACTTCCGGGCATTCTTGATTGATTGTCGACTAGTCAGCTGACATTCTCAGCGATGTTTAAATTAACCGTCTTTGGATTCGTAAAGTGTTACCATTTTGTAACTTATTCTTCCTTCACCACCTGCTAAAGGCCTCCGAGATGCTTGGTTGGGCGCGCCAGTGGCTGAGGATGGCTAGTAGGCGGCTTGAATGCCCAGACAGACGCACGCTCAAGCGCCGCCGTGTGTCACTTCAATGTCACTATTGTCAAGGTGTCAAAACTTTGGTGAAGCTCAACTCTTGATGTTTTCTTTCACCAGTAACAGGAGCATCGCTACTAGTAACAAGGGCATTACTGCTAGTAGCCAGAAGCTACTAGTAACAAGGGCATCGCTACTAGTAATAGTTTCTTCTGTTTTTTTCTTCATTTTCTTTCACGGAAGTTTATTTGGACCTTTGGACCTGTTAGGCCACGGCCTTGCTGTTTTGGGTCAAGGCGGGGTCTTTGGTTTGTGTGCAATGCTTGGCAGATCCACCAACAAATCAGTTTCTTTAGTGTGTGCAGGGTTGGTGGACCAAGGGGCCTGAGGGGAGAGTTGGGATTTGGGACTTTCAAGCTGGCAAAGCCATGTCGCCCGAAGTGCCACACACAAAAATACAAAAACACCCGTGTTGGACACAGCTTTGAGACCCGTGCCTTATCACAAAATTTGGCTGGAAATACCGTCGGGAGACGCCGCCCACTGAGTCACTGCCGCAAAAACCTTGCTAATCCCAATCTTCTCGCAGGCCTTTGGAGAAACAAAGGCTCTAACTCGCGGCCTCCGGAAGTCAGCGCAATACAACCTGATCTTGTTATAAAGCTGTACAAAGGTGTGGATCCTTTGCGGGCTTTGACAGGTCTTTTGACCCCTCCACCAGCAAAGGCCTGTCCCTGGGAGGGTGGACATGAAAGTATACATGCTGTATATAATATTTTGTAGCATGCTCCTCGCGAAGCCATGCGACCATTGCGACCGTCAAAGTTTAAAGTTCTTCCATGTTCACCTCATCACTCACATTCAGCGCTTCAGCCGTCATGAACGGGCGGACACCGATCCGGATCCAGAACAGGTCTCCTGCTCATGGTGAGCATGTGCTGCCTTCGTGTTCCTATATTGTCAGGTCATAAACTTTGGACCTGGTGTTTTATTGTGGCAGGCTGCCTTTCTATAGATCAGCGAGGGAGCTTCTGCGCCAGCAGGTCGTTTCCTAAGTTGAAGTGATTCTTGTTCAACATTGTTTCTCGGCCAGAACGCATGCCGCCTAGTGTGCTGAGAAAGGCACACAAGTTCCGAGGGGACAGCCGACGGCAAAGGACTGAGGGTGGGCGTGAAAAACTGGAAAACAGGCTTGGCACGTAGTGAAATGGCATCAAAGGGGCTCAGACACCTCCAAGGTTGCCAAATTCTGGTCTCAGATGTTGAGACCTCACCGCAGTTGCAGGGGGGCCCTGAAGCCATGACTTCAAGCTAGCAGCCAATTGCATTTTCTTGTGTGTTCAGGCTGGTGGCCCTTGCAGCCATGGGTCACCGAGTTTTTGTGGTGGTCGATGAGGCCTTGGCAGAAGGGTAGTCGAAGGGGTGACGGTGGCCGGTGCAACCCGAAAGTGTAATTGTTCATGAGATATCTGAAACTATCAGCGGTCTAGCTCCCCCTAGAACAAGGCCATCGCAACTCTTGACCTGGAACTCCGGAACCTGACTTTGGAGCCAAATTCTTGATCTGGAAAGAGGGTTTGAGTGCAGCATCCCGCCTGGAAACGCTGGAATTCTGGAATCGGGTTTTGATCGCAACTTGCCACCTGGAGCGCTGGAACCCCATTGTGCTCAGTCTGTTGTGCTTTTGGGACCCGAGATCAGGTCCAAACAGCGATCTGGCAGTCTGGCAGGGCGTATATACACGGGAACGTTGCAGGGATACTCTGCATATGGGAATCGTTCCCCATCCCAATCCCCTTCCGGCTGAATTTGTTGAATCGGTTTGGGCTAGGAGTGATTAATGTGGCTCATACTAGTTCGCTTCAATGCAACACTGGCTTGTAGCCCACCCCAGATAGCATCACAACACTCCCTGGGTCCAAGGTTGCATCGGTTGCCATCCCTGCCTTCAAATCCATCCTCTCAGCTCCTTTCCAAGCCATGATTATGGTGCGGGGCTCAGAGCTTAGGCTCGTTGCTTGTCCAGTTTCGCGGCTTTCTATGCTTAGGCAGGTACCACCTCAAGTTGTGAGGGCACAGGCTCTGCCCTGGAGTGGCTCGGGGCCAAGAGATGTGATTTCTGATTCATCCCATTGCTGCTGACTTCTTTTCAGGAAAGTTCTTTTGGACACAGCTAAGCCAAATGGCAAATTTGGTGCAGAGCCCAGAGTCCTCCATCATGCATAAACCCGAGTGGATCTGAAGTTGCATTGGCTCACACTTCAAAAACATCGTCATTAAGTAGAAGTTCAACATGAACTGAGGGACATAACAGAGTTTTGTAGAAAGAATAGGAGGGAGGGGGGG